CACATTTAAAAAATGGTCCGGCCCTTCTGGCATTTGCCAGAATTGCCAGATGGCCAATCCGCCCCTGCTTACAGGTATGCTGCTGCAAGTCCACTGACACCGACCTTTGTATGCAGAACTGTGGTCCGCTGTCCAGAACTGTCACTCAGTACCGGAAGGCGGACCACAGATAAGAAGGTTGCTGAAGGACAGTGTATTTGCAGCCAAAATGGTGACAGTGGAGAGGCAAACCTGGGAAGAATTCCGTAAAGTCATTGATGGATTTCTTGGAAACAAGAAGTCATCCGACTATGAGGTTCACGTCAAGATATGATATGTATGATATTTCAAGATCTTGGGTGTAGAATGAGTGTCAAGATGCATTTCCTAGACTCGCACCTTGATTACTTTCCTGAAAATTTGGGTGAGTATAGTGAGGAGCAAGGTGAGAGATTTCACCAAGATATTAGTGAAATGGAGCGAAGATACCAAGGACGTTGGAATGTAAATGTGATGGCTGATTATTGTTGGAGTCTATACAGACAAAATCCTGATGCTTCATACAAAAGAAAATCATCCTGGAAACAGTTTTGCAGTGGTAAGTGACAAGCAAAGACATGATGAACTGTTTCTTTAATGTAATTTGATATAATTTATGTTGAACTTTAATTGTAAATTGTGAGAAAAGCAGATGTGTGGCAGCAAATTGGAAGCCATATTCTGAAACTACATGAAAAACTGTAGAACATGCACTTGTTTTCATTAAATCACCTAACAAAATTTTTTTAATATGTCAGCCGGTGTAATTGCACGTATTTGTTTGGGCGTCCCATAGTCTGCTGATATGCTGTGCCGGAGCAACACTGAGACATATGAAAGCAGGAAACCAAATGTGGAAGTTCCCCTTTATCTGTGTGGGTGTTTTAGCGCTTAGAAAAAACACAGAGATAAGCACAGTGTCAGGAAGTACAAAAATTTTGAATGCAGCCTTAATGCCCAAGTGCAGTGCAATAAACAAACTCTTGTATGGTCAGGCCAAATATATATATAAATATATATATTTGCCACGAGCCAATTATGGGGAGCTCACCTGTCCATCCATCCATCACATATTCATTGCAGGGTCATGAGGGGGCCTGGGGCATTTACCCAGGCTGCACAGGGCACACAGCTGTCTACCACCCTGGTCAAGCATTAGTGTGACACAAGTTGTGTGCACGCACCCACTCTCACGCTCAATCCCAGATTAGAAACAGCAGCCAAACTGCATGAGTTTCCCCACTGTGGTGTGGGCAGAACATGAACTGCAAAGAGTGAGCTGAAGCAGACAGCAGCCTCCAAGCTGCAGAGTGACCAGGTCTGACTCACTGCTTACTCTCACCCTGACACACTGAGAACGGCCGCATGACCATCTCTCCTGCTTCACTCAAGCTGAAGCACCATTTACATCCATTAATGTTTCAGGCACATCAGAATATCTGCATATATACAATACATATGAGTGCATGCATATCCTATAGACATGATATTTGCTATCACCTAATCATCCACTGACGGCAGGTTTAAGGCATGTGAGGCTGGTGCTGTTTTTTTTTTTTTTTTTTTAGAAAATGTACATTTATTATACATTCTGATGAGTGTATAATAAATGATACAATCTGATGAGTCTCGATTTCTGTTGAGACATTCAAATGGTAGAGTCAGAATTTGGCGTAAACAGAATGAGAACATGGAT